GTCACGTTTTGGATTTAAGAAAAAAAAAATTAACGAGTTAGCGGTTTATTTTTTGTGATTTATTCAGTTTTTGAAATCTGCGTGATAACGGTCTGGTTGATCAAGAAACAGTAGTATTATTTAAATTTATAATCACACCACCACAGTAAATAGTTTATTTTGTATATTATGAATTTTTATATTTCATATTACGCAAACAGTTTCATCACAAAAATTGTGGAAATGTAGTGGATTATTACTGTAATAATATTTTTCTAACAATTGTGGGTCAAATAAGAAAATATTTTGTCAATATTAATTAATTATGGTTTAGGTTTCATTGGCACAAATTAAAATTAAATATAATTAAATTAAATAAGTCAATATAAATCATATCAAAATAATATAATGATGGTTTATTTGTTTTCATTTGCAATTCAATTATTACTATTCAATTTGAATTTACATTTATAATTTTATATACTGTAAATAATGTTTTTAATTATAATTACATAACTTTGACCGTCTGATAGTTCAGTTTTAAATAATATTTATACACCCACAATTATTGTTTGTTTGACATTATACTTATACTTTAAATTAATACTCACATTTTATAATGAAAAAATTTAACGACATTCATCATGGAACATTCGAAAAAAAAACTATTCTCAGAGGAGCTATTTGTTAAACTCACGCCCGTAGATATTTTGTAGTTTCCTTAAACCTTTTTAAAAATTATAAACTTAATACATATTATATTCTTTACATTAAGAGAACTACTACTGAGAAAATCGAAAAATAACTTCTTCAAAGTAGGTAATATAATTTAGACTATATATCCATATTCATAAAGTTGGTACGAGAAGAGTTGCTCTTTGAGCGTTTTATCCTGCACGAAAAAATGTTCACAGAGAACTACTAAAAAAATATATATATATAATATATCGTTGTAAAGTCAATATTTATTCACAGAGCTTAAGAAACCTTTTTGATGAAGTTTACCTAATAATATAGGTGCCAACCGAAAGAGTCTTTGCATTCAATATAATATCTAAATTTTAATATTTAAATACTTATCAATTCTAGTTCAAATATCATGAATTAAAACAAAAAAAAAATCATAGATATTTATTCACACATATTTGTACGTTTTTCAATGAAAAGACAACCAGACTATTACAACGAATGGTCAATATTTTTATTAATAACTTGATTTTTTTTTAATGTTAATCTCTGTACTGAGTTGTTGCTACCTAACGATTTTTTATTAATTCTTTTACATCCATCGATGCCTCAAGTTGGGAATTCAAAGTTTATCAGCTAACCTATTTGCCACTATTTTCACGCCAATATTCGTAGGCTATAAGTCTATTTTGTAATTTACCTTAATTTCCCTCGCCCCTTATAAAATATAGAAGCGTCGATTAGAATCCTACAGTCATGTTGAGCAACGGTTAGAGTGTGCTGGTATAATATTTTATTCATTAGTGATTGTTTATGGTAAATCAATAACCTGATGAAAAACTAATCCTGTCTAGGGTATAGGCATCAGGTATCCTCAAGTAAATCTTAGACGCATGTTACTTCTCAGCCTCTCGGCGTCAACAAAAAACTACCTCTACAATCACCGCCGCAGCCGCCGCAGCCACCACCACTACTACCGCCGAAACCACCGACACCACCGCCACAGGTTTATCGAATCATTAATGCATAATATTAATAATATTCCTCATATAATATAGTAACTATAGGAACGACTGAAATTAAGTACTTATTAGCTGTGATAGCTATTTACTCGCGTTCACGAATCGTCGGGCTGAATAATATAGATAGTTGGATTTTACCAATATTTTACTTTGATTTAAAGTTTCCGATTTGCTCTATTCCGAACCATCTCTATAGAATTATTTAATGGGTCGCGACAATACTGACATAGGTGAAATATAAAGGTGTAACCATATTTTCATTTGTTTCTATCGAGTAATACGTAGATCAATAATAATTGTTTACGGATCTCAAAGTTCATAAAATAACGTTATACATATAAATCAAATGTATGCAAAACAGACTAACAAAAAAAAAAAAAAAGTAGAATAATAAATGAAGCCGATTTTGCATAGTACTTATGCTGCTATTCATAATACATAGTTATATTTGTGTTCAGAAATAACCTATCCATGTATTTGTACAATACAACAAAATAGTTAATAAATATTTTTTTTTTTTATATAAAGCAGACCATAATCGACAAGGACAATATCAACATCAGGATCACCGATGGTATTGCAGGATATTACTTCTGGAGGGTTAAGTGTATTTATTTATAGATAAATATTTATGGATGATCTTTTATCAGCTGATATGAAATCACTTTTTATGCTAAGCAGACCTGCCATTTTTGTTTTTGTTTTTTTTACAAGAAACTTTTTTCATTAAAGTATATCTAAAAATAGTAATTTAAAATTTGTTCGCAGTAGATACACAATGCATTATTATGTAAAAGTAAATAGTTATATATAGGACATAGGTACTTATCATGAACGAATTAATTAACTTAGCGATAAAAGCGATCGACTTCGTGTATACCTCTAGTTAAATTTATTTTTTGGGACTTTTATATTAGAACAATTGCGCTTGCCATAGTTAATACAGAAAAGACGCCACCGAGGAACAATATCTCGATATTATCAGATAGCAAAAATGCACATTAAATTTAAAACTATCAAAACAATTATAATATTTAGGTACCCATTGATTATTGTCCTTTGATCACACATTAGCTACCAGTCGGCTGGGTATTGTATCAGCAGTGTTTACGTGGTAGGGGTCTTGCTAGTTTCTGTCCTATTGGAAATTCCTCTATACTTTCAATTTCACATTTATTTCGTTAACAACCCCACAGGTGGCCCTTTTGAACATTTCCCCGGTCCGAGTACGGTTTTGAGCACGTACCGACACAACTACGGTTTGGTTAAGGTTATGCACGTGAGTGGATTATTTTGTAAATCTAAAATGGTGTAACTATGCACATCCTTTGAGAAATTATAGTTGTGTTTTTCTTGAATGGATTCATTTGATAGCGGCGGCGGTAAGGTTCTCTTAGCTACTGCTGTAACTGGACGCGACTTGTCTCGCGAATAGTTCAACAACGGTGTTGAAACGTGTTGAAATTACTAAACACTACATTTCAAACTTTCAAAGTCCACGCAATCACATTTTTGAATCCCAAATTTAGAGATTTATCTCGAAATAATTTTCCACCTTAATGTTATAATGAAGTTTAGAAAGCCACATTTATCTGTAGCATATGTGTTTATAATCAGCAAAATAACGTAGTTTATTCTTATCGATCAACCTGACGGGACGATAAGTTAAAAAAAATTCTATACATTCTTTGATAAATTGATAGTTACAATTTTAATAATTGAAAATAGCTATTAAAATTCTTTTTGTATTAACCTTTTTTTACATTTACACATTTTACATTTATACATTGTACATAATTAACTTCAAATCTAACCTATTCCCTATTAAATATTTACAAGACGTACTTTTCGCATGTTCTAGTTTACCATAAATATCAAGAATTTGTAGCACACAGTCTTATATAGCCAAACATTTCTAATCAAAAACTTTTTACTTATATAAAAAATAAAAAAATTATCTATCAGTTATCACAGTTACATAAGAAAACTTCCAGTTAAGTTATTTTTTACTGTCGTTTATTTCAATATTTTGTTCTAGTCAACAAATACCAATAATTATATAACACCTGTATTTAATGGTTATATTATATAAACAAAATAAAAATGAATATTATATAGGCACTCAAAATTATTGTTACAATATCAACTCAATAATGAAAGGCTGGAAAAAGTATAGTCCCTCGATATTCTTAAGAAATATTTTTATAGTATAATAATATTATGAATTTAAACGTAGGATTTTATATTTTATTAAGTACGATAATAAATAAATATATGATTTATTTATTTCATAAATTAAAAGATTCCTAATTACTATTGTTTAGGCATGTAATTAAAAAATAACTCACGTTGCCGAATGCGGACATTATTTTCTTTCTTTTTTTTTTCTCTTAGTCCAACTAGTTTGACAAATTAAAAACATTAAATTACCTAAAATATGCACATTCTGTTTTTGACCACAACGTCCTTTTTACGCGGATAGGCCTACGTTTAAAAATTACGTTGTATTAGTGAACGCACTTTACGCGGTGGGATAAACTTTAACTTCGGCAGGCGGTTGTTTCGAGCCGGTGTATTCGTTCGGTACTGGGGACTTGTACAGAATAGTGTACGCCGCCACCAGCGCCGTTGCCGCTCTCGTGGTCCAATCGTTCAGATTTTGGTTACCACGGTAACGTCTTCATCGCTGTCACCGCTGCAGAAGTTTGTACTAGTGGACGGAATTATGGTATATTTAGTGATACCACTGACGGTATAACATAGTGTGGTTATTAACAATAATTTAATTTAACACCCGAACATCTGTGATCGTTTACTGGTGAACCCAAGAATTATGAATTACCATTAAATTTAAAATATTGGTAAATACTAAATACATAATAATATATTATGATGACTGAAAAAAAAAATTATGAAACAAAAACAAACAAGTTTAAAACAATAAATAAATGAATTTGATTAAAATGTAATCAGTTTATGAACGAATCCAAAAGCGTAATAATAAAGGATTATATTGACATCAAATTAATGAAACAACTACAATACGTATAAATGGATAAAACAAAAATAAATAAATTATCGGTAGTAAATATCAAAATACATTTAATAAAAAAACATAAAAAAAACATGTATACAAAGAATATGAAGTTAACACATTGAACATTATTATATAGTGGTAACTGGTAACGATGATCGGTAACAATCTTTAATACAAAAAACACTTGAGCATTTAAATAAGTCATACATTTGAATAGGCTGATTTAAAAATCAAAATGTCTTTACAAAGCAATAATTTTAAATTAACATTTAAATTTAACGTTTCTTTTGAGATTCTTGTTCATTTTGTAGTTCACGTAACACATCATCTCCTAAGCTGTCTAATGCATCCAAATTTTCGTTACCGATTTCATTTTTCAACTCTGATTTCAAATTACGAATACCAGACTCTACATCTCTCCTCTGTATATTAAAACCATTTAAAGCTGTAACAAACCAAACATTAACTATAATAAACAGATACACACTACAACAATAATAAATATTGTTTGGATTTATTAATAAATTAGAAAATAATCTACTGGAAAGCAATGATTTTTTTAACCTTTATTAAAAAGATCTAATTGCTGCTGACCACCAAAACTATCGTCTGTAGATATATATGATGGATACTGTGTAGTAACTTCCTGTATGAATTTATTATTTCCTTGTTCATTGACTGGTTCCAAGGGGGTAAGTACGTAGGTGGATAGTGAGTTTGAAAGAGGAAATTGTGGACATCTTGGGTCTGGGGATCCAGGATAACATACTAATGACTCTTTAGTAGGACAGCGAGGATCAGTGGATCCGGGATAACATAAAGGTGGTGGGATAGGTTTAGGAGTTGAATTATTACATACACAAACAAAAGGGGTTTGAACAGGTGTAATTTGTGGACATCTTGGATCAGTTGACCCTGGGTAACAAACTGGTGTTGGAGTGGTTGGTGGCAATGTTGGTTTTGGACATCTTGGGTCATTTGATCCTGGATAACACAAAGGTGGTGCCGGTGTCGATGGTGAAGGGTTAGTAAGTTGGTGTTGGTGAAGGTTTGGGGCATCTTGGGTCATTTGATCCTGGGTAGCAAACTGGTGCTGGAGTTGTTGGTGGCAATGTTGGTTTTGGACATCTTGGGTCATTTGATCCTGGATAACACACAGGTGGTGCTGGTGTCGAGGGATGGAAGGGTATTAGTTAAGCTGGTGGTGGTGAAGGTTTGGGGCATCTTGGATCATTTGATCCTGGATAACACACAGGTTGTGCCGGCGTCGATGGTGAAGGGTAGTAAGTTGGAGGAGGTGAGGGTTTTGGACATCTTGAGTCATTTGATCCTGGGTAGCAAGCTGGTGCTGGAGTGGTTGGCGGCAATGTTGGTTTTGGACATCTTGGGGTCAGTTGATACTGGATAACACAAGGTGGTGCCGGTGTCGATGGTGAAGGGTAGTAAGTTGGTGGTGTCGATGGTTTTGGACATCTTGAATCAGTTGACCCTGGGTAGCAAACCGGTGCTGGAGTGGTCGGTGGCAATGTTGGCTTTGGACATCTTGAGTCGCTCGAACCTGGATAGCATACTGGTGGTGCTGGTGAGATGTGAAGGGTAGTAAGGTGGGGGAGGCGAGGGTTTTGGACATCTTGGGTCAGTCGAACCTGGATAGCATACTGGTGGTGCTGGTGTCGATGGTGAAGGGTAGTAGGTTGGAGGAGGTGAGGGTTTTGGACATCTTGAATCAGTTGACCCTGGGTAGCAACTGGTGCTGGCGTGGTTGGTGGTACTGTTGGCTTTGGACATCTTGAATCGCTCGAACCTGGATAGCATACTGGGGGTGCTGGTGTAGATGGTGAAGGGGTAGTAAGGTTGGAGGAGGTGAGGGTTTGGACATCTTGAGTCGGTTGACCCTGGGTAGCAAACTGGTGCTGGAGTGGTTGGTGGCAATGTCGGTTTTGGACATCTTGAGTCGGTTGAACCTGGATAGCATACTGGTGGTGCTGGTGTAGATGGTGAAGGGTAGTAAGTGGAGGGAGGCGAGGGTTTTGGACATCTTGAGTCGGTCGAACCTGGATAGCATACTGGTGGTGCCGGTGTCGATGGTGAAGGGTAGTAAGTTGGAGGAGGTGATGGTTTTGGACATCTTGAATCAGTTGACCCTGGGTAGCAAACTGGTGCTGGAGTGGTTGGTGGCAATGTCGGTTTTGGACATCTTGAGTCGGTTGAACCTGGATAGCATACTGGTGGTGCTGGTGTAGATGGTGAAGGGTAGTAAGTTGGAGGAGGCGAGGGTTTTGGACATCTTGAGTCGGTCGAACCTGGATAGCATACTGGTGGTGCCGGTGTCGATGGTGAAGGGTAGTAAGTTGGAGGAGGTGATGGTTTTGGACATCTTGAATCAGTTGACCCTGGGTAGCAAACTGGTGCTGGAGTGGTTGGTGGCAATGTCGGTTTTGGACATCTTGAGTCGGTCGAACCTGGATAGCATACTGGTGGTGCTGGTGTAGATGGTGAAGGGTAGTAAGTTGGAGGAGGTGAGGGTTTTGGACATCTTGAGTCGTTCGAACCTGATTGATACAAATTTTAATAAGAAAAAAGTTTTAAATGTGGTTAAGTCATAATTTAGGAAGTAAGAAACAATTAAGGTTAAAATATAAAATATCCATATAAATACAATTAATCCAATTAAATATTTAATAAAAAAATAACTTCAAAAATATTTTATCAAAATTTCTTTTAATACCTGATGGGTTATTAGATCCTGGTATATGTAAAAACAAAAAATTTTAAAAATTTAAGAGTATTAATTTTGTTTTTTATGTATTATAATTTCTTTATTTAATATTTTTATTTTTAGATTAATATGATATTTATTATTTTTTGACATAAATTTCTTTTCTTAATAATTTTCTTTATTTTGAATTTTTACTTTAAAGGTTTTTTAAAATTGCTTGAATTGAATATAATTTAAATAAAGGTTTAGTTTTTTTTTTTTAGAAAATAATTAGGTTTAGAAAGAATATTTCTTTAAATAGTTATGAAGTATATATTTCATTGTTTTTTGTTATGATTTTTAATTATTTATTTATTTAATTATTAAATTTAAATAGGTTAATGAAAGAGCATTATATTGAATATATAAAGATAAAATAATTTTTTTAAATACTTTTAATAAATTTGTTTTTTTTAGTTAAAATAAAATACATTTTAAAAATAGTTTGCAAAAAAAATCCTTTGATAATTTTAAGATAAAGTTAAAATTCTATTTGTGTTAATTTTTTTTATTTTAAATAAAGAATAATTTCATATAGAATTTTGTGTAAGGTAAATTTACATATTTTTTTTTAATAAATTTGTTTGTTCTTTTGGTTAAAATAAAAATAAATTTTAAATATTATTTACAAATATAAATTATTTTTATATTGAAAATATATGCTTTAAATTAAACTAATAAATAAATTCAACATTAAACATTTTAAATGCTTTGAAAGAAAGTTATCGGCTTCTTTTATTAAAATTTTTTTAATTGTAATTCTTTTTCAATATTATTATTAACAGTAATATTAAGTAGTATATATTAATTATCATAAAAGCCTGAATTGTGACAATTAAATAATATAATTGATTGTTGTTAATAATAGAATTAATTTGTTTTAAATTTTAACGGTTTAGAATTCTATGAGATAATCCAATTATACCTGATCAAATACCAAATAAAAAGTATAAAGTAATCTTTATGATTAGTTGAAAAAATTAATTTTATAGATAAAATGGCTGATAATAACTAATAAGTTGTAAATTGTAAATTTACATACAGATTTAAAAATCTTTTTATTATTAAAAACTCATATTCATATTATATGATATTAAATTTCAAATTTAAAGGTATTAGTTATTTAATTAAGGTTTAAAATGTGATATTTTTAAATCTCTCATACCTGGATAGCAAACTGGTGGCGCTGGTGTTGAAGGTGAAGGGTAGTAAGTTGGAGGAGGTGAGGGTTTTGGACATCTTGGGTCATTTGATCCTGGATAACACACAGGTGGTGCTGGTGTAGATGGTGAAGGGTAATAAGTTGGAGGAGGTGATGGTTTCGGACATCTTGAATCAGTGGACCCTGGGTAGCAAACTGGTGCTGGAGTGGTTGGTGGCAATGTTGGTTTTGGACATCTTGAGTCACTCGAACCTGGATAGCATACTGGTGGTGCTGGTGTAGATGGTGAAGGGTAGTATGTTGGAGGAGGTGATGGTTTTGGACATCTTGAGTCGCTCGAACCTGGGTAGCATACTGGTGGCGCTGGTGTTGAAGGTGGGGGTAAGTAAGTTGGAGGAGGTGATGGTTTTGGACATCTTGAATCAGTTGACCCTGGATAGCAAACTGGTGCTGGAGTGGTTGGTGGCAATGTTGGTTTCGGACATCTTGAGTCACTTGAACCTGGATAGCAAACTGGTGGTGCTGGTGTAGATGGTGAAGGGTAGTATGTTGGAGGAGGTGATGGTTTCGGACATCTTGAATCAGTCGACCCTGGGTAGCAAACTGGTGCAGGAGTGGTTGGTGGCAATGTTGGTTTTGGACATCTTGAGTCGCTCGAACCTGGATAGCATACTGGTGGTGCTGGTGTAGATGGTGAAGGGTAGTATGTTGGAGGAGGTGAGGGTTTTGGACATCTTGGGTCATTTGATCCTGGGTAACACACAGGTGGTGCTGGTGTAGATGGTGAAGGGTAATAAGTTGGAGGAGGTGATGGTTTCGGACATCTTGAATCAGTGGACCCTGGGTAGCAAACTGGTGCTGGAGTGGTTGGTGGCAATGTTGGTTTTGGACACCTTGAGTCACTCGAACCTGGATAGCATACTGGTGGTGCTGGTGTAGATGGTGAAGGGTAGTAAGTTGGAGGAGGTGAGGGTTTTGGACATCTTGGGTCATTTGATCCTGGATAACACACAGGTGGTGCTGGTGTAGATGGTGAAGGGTAATAAGTTGGAGGAGGTGATGGTTTCGGACATCTTGAATCAGTGGACCCTGGGTAGCAAACTGGTGCTGGAGTGGTTGGTGGCAAAGTTGGTTTTGGACACCTTGAGTCACTCGAACCTGGATAGCATACTGGTGGTGCTGGTGTAGATGGTGAAGGGTAGTAAGTTGGGGGAGGTGAGGGTTTTGGACATCTTGAATCAGTTGACCCTGGGTAGCAAACTGGTGCTGGAGTGGTTGGTGGCAATGTTGGTTTTGGACACCTTGGGTCATTTGATCCTGGATAACACACAGGTGGTGCCGGCGTCGATGGTGAAGGGTAGTAAGTTGGAGGAGGTGAGGGTTTTGGACATCTTGAATCAGTTGACCCTGGGTAGCACACAGGTGCTGGAGTGGTTGGTGGCAATGTGGGTTTTGGACATCTTGAGTCACTCGAACCTGGATAGCATACTGGTGGTGCTGGTGTAGATGGTGAAGGGTAGTAAGTTGGAGGAGGTGAGGGTTTTGGACATCTTGGGTCATTTGATCCTGGATAACACACAGGTGGTGCTGGTGTAGATGGTGAAGGGTAGTAAGTTGGAGGAGGTGAGGGTTTTGGACATCTTGAGTCAGTTGACCCTGGGTAGCAAACTGGTGCTGGAGTAGTTGGTGGCAATGTTGGTTTTGGACATCTTGAGTCTGTCGAACCTGGATAGCATACTGGCGGTGCTGGTGTAGATGGTGAAGGGTAGTAAGTTGGAGGAGGTGAGGGTTTTGGACATCTTGGGTCATTTGATCCTGGATAACACACAGGTGGTGCTGGTGTAGATGGTGAAGGGTAATAAGTTGGAGGAGGTGATGGTTTCGGACATCTTGAATCAGTGGATCCTGGGTAGCAAACTGGTGCTGGAGTGGTTGGTGGCAATGTTGGTTTTGGACATCTTGAGTCTGTCGAACCTGGATAGCATACTGGCGGTGCTGGTGTAGATGGTGAAGGGTAGTAAGTGGGAGGAGGTGAGGGTTTTGGACATCTTGGGTCATTTGATCCTGGATAACACACAGGTGGTGCTGGTGTAGATGGTGAAGGGTAATAAGTTGGAGGAGGTGATGGTTTCGGACATCTTGAATCAGTGGACCCTGGGTAGCAAACTGGTGCTGGAGTGGTTGGTGGCAATGTTGGTTTTGGACATCTTGAGTCTGT